TCCCTACAACTTTAAATTTCACCAATTATAATTTCGGCTCTTGAAGCAAAGATGAGATGCAAAGGGGGGAGGTTGTTTTGTCAGGGGACTTCTTAAGAGCCCACTTGACTGGAAGCTGTTATTGGTTCTACATGTCATCTGGTTGTCATGTGTCCCTCATGACCATGAACTAACAAAAATAGTGAGACCATCAGCCATGCGGGGATCTAGCCACCTTAGCCACTTGCCACCTGGTGGCCCCGTATCTGCTTTCTTATTATATTCCTTGCATCACTTGCCTTTTTACTTCCCTGTTACCAATCGGGATTGCTTTTAAGAGAACCTGAATTGAGTTGCAAAACTGTTTGCAAAGCAAAGATTTTTTTTGCAAAGCAAGGTTTTAAACCTTGGAAAGTGTGTCCTCTGGGTGACAAACGAAAATATAGCTAACAATAAATAGCCCTATTCTTCCTGATGGAAAAGTTCACTCATTTTGCTGTACCCAATTATCTTCTCTCCTTATTTTACTGTATTAATGCAATTCATTTTCTTTTTCTTTTTCGTAAGCTTATAGTGACTCTCTTACTCTGCCCCAATTCACTTTACAAATTGTTCATTGCTCTGGTTTACTATACTTTTATTCTATAGTTCCCATATAAAAGAACTTTTCTTAATAAAAAAGGAAATGGTCTGTTGCTTGTTTGCCCCTTTCAGAATGTGTAACCTTTTTATTTTCATCTCCCAGAATAAATAGGTTCATCTATGCACTTCTTTATATAAATTGTGGGATATTGAAGGAATGCAATACATTTTAAACAACAGTGTTTGAACTCTGCACAATTTATCTCATCATGCCTCACAGAGCAATGCACTTTTCTGACCACAAATTGTCAAACTTCTCCTAAGCAGGGAGATGTACACCACCCGAGTATCCCACAGCATAGTCAAGGACGTCATGATTGCCCTTCTTCATCATTCCCCTTGTAATTGTTCTGATAGTGATTTAGAGTCAACACACACTGTAAACAATTGGTGCATCTATTAGCGTTAAAAAGGAATACTTAGTCAACATGTCCATTATAACCCTATGCAGGAACCAAAGCCTGGGACCTTATATCTTAAGTTAATGTAACACTCTGAACCTATCTAATTGGTCAGCTATGCTCTAGGATTCTTTGCTTTAGTTGTTATTCTGTCTGGAGTTTGAGTATCCTGTCATTTGGGTGCAAACTGAGAACTTCTCTTCCTTATTTTCATCCTCTCCTCTGCTTCCCTTTGGTCATGAACCCCATTTACTTCCACTGATTAATTATTTCTTCTTTCACAATTGTTGTGTCATGAAAGCCAATCTTTGGAAAAGTTGAGAGTGAGATTAATGTTCACAAAAACTGTGAAGAAGACCTCAGAGGAAGATGGGGCCATACTGCATTGTATTCCCCTTGAAACAATGCAAAGGCAGCTACGAACATTGGAAAGCAAGTCACATTTTTTGCTCACCATCCATTATTCTTGCATTTAACAGAACATTAAAAGTCTACAGCTTCTGAATTTATTAGCTTGGTATTTAGCATGTTTCATGTACAAAATAGCAAAGAAGGTTCATTATTGCTGGTTAAATTAGCCTCATGAAAATGTTGTTGGTAAAAGGTTAAGAAATAAATAAGAGATCTAACTGAGAAGCGTCTTAGACTATTTATCACTATATTTTTTAAAAGGCATTCTGATCATTTAAATTAACTTGGCTAAAGGCTAGAGGATTAGATAAAAGTTAATAATTAAAATCTAAATGGCGTATTAGGTCCTCCTTCTGATAAAGGGGAAACAAGACATGCAAACAGTATATGCTTAAAGTGTCCTCTGGGAGAAACGGAGGCCAATAAAACCATACCTAGTAATACCATTTATTCTTTAAGCTTTTAAGAAGGGATGATAGCTATAATATATATAAACTGGATTACCTTACTGTCACAGGTTTCTTTTAGACAGAGAGTCCTTTCCACAGTCTCTGATGTTTAGAGGGTTGAAGTCTGTAACTGAGTCATCTTTATGCTGAAATTTCAGTACTTCTTTTTTAGCTGAATGTTGTCTTAACTGAATATAGTATGTCTTCCATCTTCATGAAAATTTTAATGAGGAATTTAACCTTTTTTTTGTTTCTGCCCTTTGATACAATCTGTACGATCTAAACTAGTTACCTTTTCCATTGTGTTCAAATGATTATTTCCCGTTTTAAGCTAATATGTTCATACGACATTCCTGAAAAGGATGGTAGAACTATTTAAGATCAGCTCGACAACCCTGATTAAGGATTCTGTGCCTATGGATTTAACATGGAAATGAAGGACTTCTCTTCTTTTTCATTCTTCACAGAAACCAAGAGCTAAAAGAACTTGGTGAACTTTCTCCACACTGGGACAATCTAAGGAAAAATGTCCTCACTCATTGCGATCAGATGGTGAAAATGTACCAAGACATTCTGACAGAACTCAGCAAAGAAACAGGTTTGAAAGCAACAGCTTTTACTTACTCCCTGTGAATTGTATTTCATATATGTTACATGAAAACAATCATGAATGTTGTTATAGAGTTAGTTGAGCCAATTTTTTTTTTTTAATTTTATTTTGCCAGAGGGCATGTGCGCTTGCTGGAGTCAGAGAAAAGAGTTTTGGGAAAGAGGAAGCATCCCTCATGGGGCATGGTCAGGCTGCAATCCTCTTTCCTCCATTACTTTCTCCTTTCAGGATTTTGGACACATATGTACCCAGTATGTTTCTTGAGCCACCAGGCCTGAGACTTAAATCATGCTGTCAGCCATGTGGGAAGCAGGCACCTTAACTACCAAACCAATGGCTGGCCAAGCCAGAGATCAAAAAACAAAAAAAAAACAACAAAAACAAAATCCCTTTTCTGTCTAGCTCTTAACATTTTTTAAAAGAATTACTGATTTAATTTTATTTTTTCATTCATTTACTTTAATTTGACTAGAGAGAGAGAGAGAAAGCAAGCCACCAGATCTGGGACTTGAACTGTAGTTGGCCATGTGGGAGTATCCAGTGCCTTAACTGCCATGTCACGTGCTCTAAACATTTTGAAGACAAAAACTGCCCTATTCTATCTTTTGGTATTAGTATAAGAATACTGAGATCATTTAAATTTTTTATTTAGAAAGTCTATTTCAAGTTTTTAAAGGCATGTATGTTCCCTAGAGAGAGAGAGAGAGAATAAAACATTTCTGGGACCAGCAATTGGCGTAATGGCTATGTCACTGGACTCCCATGTAGTCAACTGCAGTTCTAGTCCCTGACCCAGTGGCTTAAACTCACGCCTAATGTGTGTGCATGCATGTCCAAGATCCTGAGAGGAGAATGGAGGAGAAGGGATTGCAGAGTGGCCATCCTCCCTGAGGGGAGTGATCTCTCTCGCTTTCTGTCTCTCTTTCTGGCAAGCGCATGTGCCCTATAGCAAAAACCTCCCCCCAAAAAAGAAAAACAAAACACTTCCTATGGGCATTGTCATACCACAATCCCTTCTCCATCGATCCTTCCTTTCAGGATTTTGGATACACACTCACACATGGCCAGCCTGTGTGTTCAAGCCACCGGGTTTAGAACTCACACTGCACAGTCATCTGTGTGGAATCCAGCTTCCTTAACCAACACTGCTGGCTGGCCTGATATCTTTTTTTTTTCCTTTTAATTGAACTGGAGATTTTTTAAATTGAATTTATGATAAATGCATGATATATTTCTCTTCTGTGAATTCTTGTAACTTTTTTCTGTCAAATGTAGTCAACATATATGCGCACATACATACACACACTTATCACATTTATTTACTAATAACGTTTAATTTATTTCCACCTAGGGTCCTCTTTTAAATCAAGCAGCAGCAAAGGAGAGAAAACATTAGAATTTGTTCCAGTAAATCTGCATCTGCAGAGAATGCACGTTCACAGCCCTCACTTAAAAGGTATAATATATTATTCTTCAAAAAACAGCAAATGATGTTATTGCAAGTGCTTTAAAAAAAAAAAACTTGACTATTGGTAGAATTAAAAAACTTAATGGCCATGAAGGTGAAGATAAAATAATTATAGCTAATTATGACCCCAAATACTACGAAAGAGATGACAACTACATGTAGATGTATTTCCAGGCGAGTCTTGTGAATGTGGCACCAGAGTAAGAGATGAAAATTAAATAGTATTGATGATGGAGAATTAACAACAATTGTGCTCCTGTTTAGAGAAATTAAAATAAAACACAACTTGATTATTTTTTTAATGTACCTTGAGTAAACCAAAACTCAGAGTTGAACATGTTTGCTGTTTCTCCAACCTAGTTGACTGTCTGCAGAAGCATTCCCTTCTGAATGGGAACAAGTGAAGGTTCATTAGGTAGAATATGATAGAATATGGTGGAATATTTGATGTACTTATCTATAAAAACATTTGTCAAGGAACAATTTATAGCTTTTCATTAAATACTTGACTGAGTCCAGTGTGACTGATATGATATCATCTATACTATCCATCTACTTAATCCCTTGCCATTTCTCAATAAAATATGGAGATAGTGTGGGAAGAGGGTGGGAAAAGGCAGAGTGAGAGGAAGGGAATGGAGGAGACAAATAGACAAGTCATTTACGGAACGCAGAAATGGATGATTATCTGTTGATGATAACATGTATGGTATCTTCAACTGGACTGGTGTGAAGTGTATTTATATTAGGTAAATTCACTTTAAAAGTTGTAGTGATGTACAATGACTGAATATATAAAATGAATTAAAAATTTTTAAAAAGACCAGCAGTTAGTGTAATGGCTATGTCGCTGGACTCCCATGTAGTTGACCACGGTTCGCGTCCTGGACCCGGTGGCTTAAAACTCACACAGGGTGTGTGTTCATTCATGCCTAAGATCCTGAGAGGAGAATGGAGGAGAAAGGATTGTGGCGTGGCCATCCCCCCTGGAGGGGTGATTTCTCACTTTTGGTCTCTCTGTCTCTGTCTGTCTGGCAAGCGCACATGCCCTATAGCAAAAACCTCTCCAAAAAATAAATAAATATTTAAAAAAAAGAAAAAAAGAAAAAAACTGTTTTAAAATACTTTTATCATTTCCCTCTGTGTTTAACTTATTGCTCTATCAATTTTCTATGCATGTCCAGGGTGATAATGTACCCTGTTTACTAGCAGAAGTCTCCCTTAATGCCTATTGTCCCAGCATCATTGTTTATAATGTGCCTCCCCCATTCATTTCCTCTCTCCAAAACTTCCCTATTTGAATGACAAATGCAGTGGCCACCCTACTGGTCCCATTCTCTAATGCCCTAAAAATTTACTTACTTAAATGATCAAGTCCTTCATGAGCACATTAGCACACATACCAATATACATAGAGAGATGTGAAGACTTAATATCACACCCTGTTTTGTAGCCTTTGTCAAAATACAGTCAGTACAGGTTTAGCACAATTTAAATGACAGAACCCTTGTGCACATTGGTACAAATGTAAATTAGTGCAGGCACTAGGAAAGAAGTACTCCTCAAGTTACTCAAAAAGTTAAAAATGCAAGTAGCACATATTAGTAATCCTAATTCTGGGTATTTAGCCAAAAGAAATAAAATCAGAATCTCAAAGAGGTATCGACACTCTCACATCATTGCAGCATGATTCACAATAGCCAAGACATGGAAGAAACCTAAATGCCCATTGATGGATGAATGAATAAAGAAATGTCCTATGTATAAAAAATGGATTATTCATCCTTAAAAAGGAGGAACTCCTGCCAGTGGAGACAACTTGGATGAACCTGGAGTACATTTTAAGTGAAATAAGCCAAACACAGTGATACAAGTTCTGCTCCATGATACAACTTACATAGAGAATCTAAAATAGTAGAGCTTATGGAACCATAGAATAGAATGGTGGTTACCATGGACTCTGGAAAGAAGGAAAAAAGGAGGTAATAGTCAAAAGGGACAGCATACCAGTTATGTAAGATGAATAAGGTTTTAAAGAGCCGTATAATACAGTGCAATGCCTATAGTTTACAGTGCTCTATTAGGTACTTTGGAATTTGCTAAGAGTGTAGACCTTATCATACACACAAATAATAATAATTAAAAAGGTAAAAGGAAGCTTTTGGAGATGATGGATAGGTTTATGGCATAGGTCATGGTGATGGTTTCAAGAGTGTGTATTTATCTCCAACTCATCAAGTAGTATACATATATACAGTTTCTTTTATGTCGAACAAATGTTTAATAAAATGGCTAAAAACATTAAAATGAAATCTCTCTTCTGCTTTATAATCAGGTAGAGTTTATAATCTAAAGAATTTAATTTTGTTATCTTCTAGTTTGTGCGACTGATGTGCAAGTTGAAGTAGTGTTACACTTCTTCTGATGCATGATTTTTATTGTACTTGATACCCTTTATCAACTATCTGAAATTTTAACTTAGGTACTGTTCGCCACAAATTATGTCTAATGAAAAAGTGAGGAAAAGTGAAATGGATTGTTCAAAACTTTGAGGAGCTTCTGTATTCTGAATATGTCCTCCAAAGTTCACATGTTTGAACTTTACTCCCCAGTACAATGGTATTGGGAGGTGGGACCTAATGGGAGTTGTTTGGGTCATTAGGGTTGGACTCTCATGAATAGGATTAATGCACTTTTGAAAAAAGGACTCGTGGGAACGGGTTTGTCCTCTTTCACTCTTCTGCCACGTGTGGACACATTTGTCCTTCTTGTCCTCTGCTTTTCACCATGGGAGGACACAGTAAGAAGGCCCTCTTCAGAGACCAGTGCCTTGATCTTGGACTTACCAGCCTCCGTAACTGTGAGGGAATCAGTTTCTGCTTTGTGTAAATTATCTAGTCTGTGGTGTTCCATTCTGGCAGCACAAATCTGACTGATAAGAGTCCTTCCTTGGTTATTAACGTTTCTTGACAGTTTGCACATAATATATAATGGTTTTAAAAATCTCAAAAGCCAAGTGGCCACACATAATAAAGAAGCTAAAATACTTAAGAATGATTTAACATCAAACAGATTTCATTTTTTGCTGTGTTTTAAATATTTTCAGTATATTTCTTTGAGAGAGAGAGAGAAAAGACAGACACATTCCAACAAGGTCTTCATGCCATTATCCACCCTCAGTCTCAGCTGGCCCAAATCATGGGCATGCAGACATCTGGCATGCTTAGAGGACCTGGGTTCACATCCCAGGACCTCCCCCATGTAGGAAAAGCAATTGCATTACTGCTTTTCCACCACCTGGCCTCCCGTATACATATATTTTTAATAGGCAATATGAAAGACTTTTAAGATACAGTAAAAAGTTTATATATTTTAGAGCATTACAGACCTGAGTTTGAGTTGTAGCTCTACTACTTTTTTAAAAATCACTGAGTCTGTTATTTAATCTTTTTGAGCAGTTTGGTTCTCACTCTTGATTAAGTGAGTTTGAGGATATAGAATATCTAGAATGACATACTAACAGTAGTTTTATTACCCATGTGGCATTTGCCATCACTGGAATAAAATGGATCTGTCCACTTTATCAGGCAGTTAAACTTGGAGACAAGTGATGAAGAGCTTATTAAGGGACAGTAAAGTCTTCAACTAAGGAAATAGCAAGGTTTAGAGTAAAGATGATTTAAAGAGGCATTTTGGAGAAATCATCACATGCTACTACTTAATGACAGATGGGATAAGGCAATGTGGGAGAAGGATAATTTGGGTTTCAGCCGTGGGTGGGTGGTAGTGTCATCTAACTAGACAGATTGTTTCAGGTCAAAAGCATATGATTTTATATTTAATTGTGCGTTAAAATACCTGATGGTAAACTTTAAACTACTTATAACAATGAGAAATTATTATTTAAGTGATATTTTATTTGAAATGATAGAACTATCTACACTATGCTGCTTTCTAAGGAACTATCTGAAAATTAGACTAGAGAAAACTAGGATAAAAGCAATATATTTCACTTCAGTTTCTCTGATCAGGAAGACACTTGAGCTAAAAGACAAATTTAGAAAAGCAAGGTTGTTTTGTTTTGTTTTGTTTTTTCCTAATTGACTTGGTTTGGGATATATATCAGTCTCCTAGAGCTGCCGTACTAAGTCTCTATAAATTGGGCTAAATAGGCAAGCTTTATTCTCCCACAGTTTTGGAGGCTAGAAGTCCGAATTACGGTGTCAGCAAGACTATGTTCCCTCCACAACCTGGAGTGAAAGCCTCCCTTGCCTCTTCCTGGTTTCTGGTGGTTTATGGACAATCCTTGGATTTGAGGCAACTAGCTAAACCATTTCTCCAATCCTCCACCTTCACGTGGTATTCTATGTGTCCTCTGTGCATGTTTGTCTCTGTGCCTAAATTTCTCCCTTAAGGACACCTGTCATACTGAACTAAAGCCAGTCCTAATAACTTAACTACAACAAGGTTTTATCTGTACAGAGTCTATTTCCATATAAGGTCACGTTCAGAAGCATTTTACCAACGACGCAATATAAAACTGTAACAGGGTATAGAAAAAAGTATTATTTGTAATGACAAATATCATATCATACAATAGAGATTAAAGTGAGATTTTAATGTAGATGTTGGAGGCAACCCCTGAAATGTAAGACTTTTTTTTTCTTTTCTTTTTAGGTTTTTGCCATAGAGCACTCATACTCACTGGAGAGAGACAGAGAGAGAAAATGTGAGAAATAATCCCCTAGGGAAGATGGCCAAGCTGCAGTCCCTTCTCCTCTATTTTCTCAGTAGTTTGGGTAAGCACACACATGTGCCTGGCATGATTTTCAAGCTGCTGGTCTGGACTTAAATGTTGATCATCCATGTGGAAGTCTAGGGCTTTAACCACCACACTACCCGCTGGCCCCATAAGGGATTTTTGACAAGATAGGTAGTGGAAAGATTTATTTTTCTCTTTGAAGACCTGAGGAGAAATTGTAGGGAAG